CTGTCTGGACGTGGATCCTCATTCAGAAGATAACAAAGCATTTCAGTGAAAAGAACACCAATCTGAAGAGTAACATGGTGGTAGTGATTTGGCGTATTCTTCCACACATAATGAAACCATGAATTTTGCTATCTATCATAGAATCCTGAAGAATGTCCAGACTTTACGACCCAAAGCTCAAGCACACGTGGATTAGGAAGCAGGATCTGAAGCACACAAGTAATTCCTCCTCTGAATGGTTTAAAAGAAGAGAGGTTTTGGAGTGGACTCGTCAAAAAACTGAACTTAAATCCGACTGAGATGCTGTACAATGACCTCAAACATCCTAAAAAAACATTAAGTGAATTAAACCAAAGAAATCTCTAAGGGCAAATACTTTTTCATAAGACTGCATGTTTTAACTGTTAGTTTTTATTTTATTTTTTAATTTAATGTTTGTTCACTCTACTTTATATTATAGAGAAACATTATCCTGTTTTGCAATGAGCTATTTGGTATACAGCAGTTTTGCAGATGTAATGATGGAAAAAACAGACAAATGTACCCTGAAGCCACATCTGGACTGACTGTTTCTCTTGACTCAATGATGGTCTTCCAAGTTACTGGAGACTTCTTTGCATCTATGGCTGCATTCATCTTTCCATACTTTCCATTCTGAAGTCTGCATGGAGCTCATTAGTCTTCATTTTGAACCTGTGATGAAAAAAAAGAACATGAAAAACAACATCAGATGGCTATACATGTGGAAAAAGTGTCTTTTACAAACTGCAAACATGTGGTTGTTATGGTTACTTTTTGTGCAACACACAGACAGTCTTTGGAAACTCAGGCGAGACACTGGCCAAAATCTGTCCCATTCAGTCATGATTCTAATTCAACTCACATTCCAACTGCAGACAAACAGCCTGGGGTTTCCCTCTCTTGGCGAGAGCTGCAGCTCAGGAGCTTTAGGAGTAGCATGTTAATTCACCAATTATATCCAATTATCACTACTATGAATGTTTCTATGCTTTGCATGAAGTTCTCTGATCACATTAGTTTAATGTGAATATAAGTGGAGAACTGTGACTTTAAAATGACATCTCTTAGTGGACATTTTTAAGTCTGTGCAATACAGTTGGAGCACATGAAAGCAAGCATATGTGATTTCGATTAGACTGAATTATAGCCTACATATATGCTGCTATGGATACAGTGAATGTAAAGGTCCACAAATGAATATCTCTCTGGTTTTCTGGAGCTTGATGAAAAGTTTTGGATTAAAGGTTTTAGAATAAGGTTATTTTGTGCAACAGCTCCGCCTGGTGGACAAAATCAGAGCACCTAGGAAAACAACAAGTTTAAGCTACTCCAGATATGAACCAGAATAAATAAATGGAATTACCAAAATTATTTCATAAAAGCAAAAGAAAATAATAATAAGAGGAAATATGCTTTTAGATGTTTTTATGACTTTCTTCAGTTTGATGTTACATTTATTAATGAACAGTGTCTTTCAACACAAAATGGGCCACCATTTTGTTACACTTCAACAAACTTCTCTCAATGGTTTGATGAAATTTCGGCCCATTCCTCCTGGTGTAACTGAGTCCAGTTTGTAGACCGAATTGTTTACAGTCTGTGGAGAGGATGTCAAACAACTGGTCAGGTCTGTCACATTAAATCTGGAAGATTTAGATGGACTTTGTCAAAGTAGCTCCAAAACATTGACTTTTGTGTAACCACTTCAGAACTAATTGTCCATAATCTTACCATTTAGAAGATGCACTTGTGCATAAGCATACTTTTTATTTTCTTGATAAAGCCACTGCTTTTTTTTTCTACATTTTTTTTACATTTCAGGTATGCCTACACGGCAGCTTTGCTCTAGAAAAATAAAGGATATCTGGAGAGGTATCCTGCCTACTTGATCAACTTGATTATATCAAAAAGAGCCTTGGATTATTTTGCACATTATTTCCTAAATCATGTTAATCTCTGGGACAAAGAACCCAGAGATTCTTCTGGACCAGTATGATGGCTGAACATTGCCATGTTGTTTTATATTAGTGTACAATTGTTTTAGCAGATGAACGTGGCACCTTCAGACATCTGAAAACTGTATCTATAAAACAGTCTTTCTCAAATTGTGGTCCCAGAACACTGGTGGTCCGCAGGCGCCCCCTAGTGGTCCGCGATATACTGCATATAAACGACCGTTTATTTGCCGTGACGTTAGCTCAAATTGCGACGCCAGTTAGCTTACCAATGGATTGTGTTAAAAATAATTATGGAAAACTGGCTTAAAACCGGGTCACTCGAAAGAAAAGCTGCAGATACCGGTGGAAGGAAAACAAGTCCAGGTCATAGCTGCTGAGTGTTGATGTGTCAGTTCACTCGCGATTAGATTCCTTTGAACGGCTCTATGCGGTGAGTGGTAGGACCGTCTCAGTTAGTGAGAACTGTTCTTTGTTTATAAGACTTTGCTTGGTAATGAGCAGTGGTGGAGAAAGTACTCAAAAAATGTACTTAAGTAAAAGTACAAATACACAGACAAAAATGTACTCGTTACATCCAAGTCGCATTGCTCTTTTTTTCCCATTAAAATGTGAAGTTCGGGGCCTTAAGGTGGCGCCGTAAAATCCAAGCAATAACGTGACTTACGTGTCTGTTGTCACCCATTGCCTCCCCCTTTACTCGCACGGAGCTCCAGACATGCGCAGTGGCTTCCTCTGAGCTGGAGAAGATGTCTGTCTAATCGTCAGTAATATAATAGCTGCAAAAATCATAAGATATGGCGACATGTAAAATCAGCAGCGCTTCGCTTTCACAGACGGTGGGGACTTCGTCCAACTTTTAGCGTCACTTGGAAGGAAAGCTTAAAGAAAGGTAAGCTATACGCAACTTGGATGTAACGAGTAACGCAACAGTTTTGTAGAAATGTAGTGAAGTAGAAAGTACAGATACTTACTGTAAAATGTAGTGGAGTATTTTTATTTAATTAAAAATGATAAAATTAAATAAACACAATAGATAAATACCATCGATAGAAATGGGTTAATTATATTTATATTTAATGGTGCAGAAAAGGATTTTTGTTTGTTAAAGCAATTCAAGTCTATTTTTTTAATTGTGCTTCTAAATCACAAATAGCCCTAACTGTTATTAATGCGCACAATACTTGGTAGTAAAGAACAACTTTTTTTTATTTTCCATATGTTTGATATCATTAGAAAGCTTAGACTCCTCACTTACAGAATCTACTCAACATGCCCAAGTAGACGTGTTCGTGGCTTTGTTCTGGCCAGGCACATTTACCAAACATCACCACAAAGATAGATAGTGGCAAAGCAAACAATAAATGAGTTAAGAGACTAATATTTTCATTTCACGTTTAATCATATATTAAGATGCGTTATGCAGTAACCCATACCCTTATGGTTAATGTGTTTTAACTAATGATTTTAGAAAATCATTCTGGAATTTAGCAAAAATATTAGTAATACAACCTGACATAAACAGGACATGGTTGATGTAATTTAATGTCACAAGTCAGTTTTTTTTTTTTAATTTACAGCATGTATTAGTTATTAGGGGTGCACTGATGGCAGTTTTCTGGCCAATCACCAATCTTAAAAAAGCCTGAGCTGGCGATTCAGATTTTGTTTTGCAACCCTAGTTTTTAAATGAATGCTTCATTGTTGAAACTTTGTTTTTTAAAAAAAGTCATTCAGCAGCATGTAATTTTAAGTCACTAATTAACACTTTAATAGCTTCACAACACATCACTAGAGAAACACAACACAAATGAAAAAAAAAAAGATAGTCACCCGCACACAAAAAGAGTCCAACTGAGAAAAGACGACCAAAACCAGCAGGAGGAAAAGGGAAAGAACCAGAGCGAGAGCGTAAACAGGCCGAACTCATCCAAGAACATGTCAGTGCAGCTACTTTGATAGTGGCTCCATTAGGAGTGCTCAGTCAAAAATAGAAACCCAAATGTGTGCTCCTGAACATAGAAACAAAAACTTTCCAGTGGATCTGCCAGTAGCTTTTCAGCACCCAGCGCTGTTCACAACGGCACCAACAGTCCATAATTAAAACAAGACACTAAAATAGAGGGAATACAGCCTCCCTCTGCTCTCTCTCTCTCTCTCACACACACACACACACACACACAACGCTTATATAACCTCCTGTTTCAGTTTCAGCATTTCACATCCTGAGTACCTGCATTTCAAACTGAAAAATAAGTGCAACATGAAGGGGAAAAAAAGCTGTTAACCATCCGCAGTGCTTATGCAAGTTGCTACATTTTAGCTTCATTTTCACTTCATCACCCAGAAATTTAAAACAAAAAAATGATTAAATTATCAGCCAAAACTAAAAAATAAAAATCACTCAGCTAAAAAGATTTGGGAGAAAAGTTATGGTTTGACTTGAAAATAAGTTTTGTGTTTGGCAGAAAAAGAAATGCAAAAAAAAAAAAAAAAAGTTTCTCTTAAAATGAAACTCACCAAAACGAGAAGTGTCTCTACATGAGCCAAGAACACAGCCACAGGGGGGCGCTCCACAGATCATAGATATATGCTGGAACTCCTGTGAGTTATTAGTGGATTATTTAACACTTACAATAAAGCAAGGGAAGATATAAGGGAAGAAAGAAAATGTAGGATGGAGGGGCAAACAGAAGAGGAACGAGAGACAGAAAAAAGGAAGGACACAACGAGGCAAAAAGGCTGAATGAAGAGAAGATTGAATAGATTAATGCATCCAACTATTTAAGCGGCCTGAAGATTCAATACTAAAGGAATTAAACCATGTATTTTTGCTGCCACCAGTACAGAACTGGGCCTGGATACATCAGAGTTCCAGCATCTGTCCAGGAACTGTTGAAGCGTCCACCTGTAATAAAACCAGATTGTTTTATATCTGTAAGAAAACAGCCCTTTTCTTGCCGCTTATGTTTTTGTAATGGAAAAGGCTTTAAACACATGATATGTATGTTTCTTCTAATTTTGTCGACCTGCTGCAAATTATTTTTATTGTTGTAAAGCTTCAGCAGACAGGCTATAATTATTTTAACGTAAAAAATAGGCAGACACAAAAATCACATTTGGCACATTATCACAATAAAGCAGCGGTGTTTCTCCTTTTAATCGGACCTTTGAGATGAATTGCGTCTTCAGACATTATTTTTTGCTGAGCTGATTCGAGTCTTATGAAGTGAAGACCCCTCCGGCGGGCTATACTTCTGTGACGGTGCACTGTCCATCAGGACTGCGCGAGCGGAGGGTGAGGCCGGAGCCGGAGCTGGACGGCATGCCTCTTGGAGGAACTCTGGTTGGCTGGTTCTCCCTTAGCGGCCTCCGTGTGCGTCTTCGTCGCTCCTCAGACTCTCCTCTCCTCTCGCCGTCTTCCTCCTCCTCTTCACTCTCACTGCTCCCCGACGCAGACTCGTACGTCTGCAGCTCGCCGTCTCCTTCCAGCTCTTCGCCCTCTGGCTGGCTGATTAGCAGCTGAGAGAAAGACTGTTCCAGAGGCGACGGAGACGGAGACAGAGGGCTGCCGAGATGACGTCCGAGGAGCGTTTGAGGTCTGATAGGAGGAAGGGGAACCAAAATCCCAAAGGATGAAGGCTGGGGCTGACCTGTGGAGTCAGAGCCATCAGCTGAGCTCACGCGCTCTGCTGCAGCAGAGACCGCCGCTGGTAAAGCGGGGACGGAGACGGGCTCGGAGTCCAGCCTCAGTCCTGCCACGCCCTTCTTAGGGATATCAACTACGTCCCTCTTCATCTTGCGCCGGCGGCCGTGCTCGTTCCGCCGATACTGCACCATATTCTCCAGGTCCGCCACGTAAAGGAACCCTGCGATCAGCATCTCGGTGCTCTTCCTCCCCTTCACGAAGGCCTCCTCCAGCTCTCGGCTGGTGCGCTCGTCATACTGCCACCAGCCGTTGCGCCCCTCGTAGTACCACGTGTAGTCTCCGCGCGACTCGCTCCCGCCGCGGTTCAGACCAGCGGCCGCGGCTTTCAGTTCCTCGAGGGAAAGCAGGACCGGGCGCTCCAGGAAGTCCTCTGGGATTTCCTGCCGGCAGAGAGCACAGCGCTTGCTGTGCCAGGAGGCACCTTTCACGCACAGGAAGCAGAAGACATGGCAGCAGGGGAGACGGACAGGGTGGACGCAGCTCTGCAGGCAGATGGCGCACTCTGGTGGTACAGCAGCAGCTGCGGTGGTGGTGGTGGAGCTGCAAGAGTCGTCTTCTGTATCTTCTTTAAGCTTGGAGGGAGCTGGGGTGTTCACAGACAGGTTCACTTCTCCACACCCGGCCATGCTGCGGAGAGAAACCGAGCCGTCATGGTAAACCTGGTGGGAAGTTTGTTCCTTTCTGCACTTAAGTGAACAGCTTAACTAGTTTGGTAAATACTTGCTATGCGTCTCTTGTAGCTGGGGTCTCTTGTTGCTATGCCCTGTCCTCCTCCTCGCCCTGAAATACAACAAAAAGCCAGCATACAGGGTGAAAATCTCACACAGGACAGTTTTCTTGAGCACGCCAAACTGTACACATTATGCAGACAACAATAGTTTTGAAATGTCCATTTTTTTTCTGATTTTACTTCATCTGTGGTTTGATGATCAGTAACTCCAAAAACATAAAGTATCAATCTTGGGGTTTTAATCTGAGACAGTCAAATGAAAATGAACAGATTTAGATTCCTAGATAATTGATTATGGTAACTTCTTACCGGTGCAACCACTTTCAGACTTCTTCTGCATTTTTTTTTGGTCACTTTAAAATGTTTAATCAAAAACTTGTAGAATTTATAGTGATTTTTTGTTTGTAACGCTCTGACAGCTCCGCTGTCATGGGGAAACAGGTGTTTGTTTCTGGTAACGCCCATACATACACAACCCACATCAACATCTCGGAATTACTAAAAACCAGATTTAAATGAAAATATTCTCTAGTAGCAAACATTTTTATCCGTTTTCAAAAGAATGCATTTTGTCATAAACAATATAAATTCTAATAAATGAAGCTACAAAACGCTGTTTTAACAGTGGTAACTAAGCCATTCAAGCTAAGCTAACGTTAGCATACTGTTAAATTGCTAACAAAATAAAGTTTCTCCTGTCCTGTCGCGACCTCGGATGTTTTTCCTGTCTAATGGAGAGTAATGCAACTGCCAGACGATCAGCTGAGTTAAAACATTTCCCAAACTAATATTATCTTTTCACCTCCAGTAGAATATTGTTATGTTAGCCTGTAGGTTAGGGGTTAGCTTTTAGCTAGCTTACCTGAAAACAGGAGACTCCTACAACGTCTGCACTTGATGTCCAGATGGAGATATTTATAAACCCCCAGTCATTTTTCACTGCGTATAAAGATGAGACAACCAAATACAGTGTTTTAGCACTGATAGAGCTTGAGGTGTGGCGGCGGCCCTCCCAAGTCCTGAGCTGTCTTTAGTGACCAGAGGGGGCGCTAACGCACAGACATTGACACACACTACTGCAGCTGCGCACTTAGGTCCTAATTGTTTGAGCAAATTTTTCTCTTCTTTTTATGTAATTAAATAATGTGCCCCTGTGTTAAGTTAATGTAGGTTCATTTGACATGATATTTTAGGCATTAGTGTTCAAAAGGAAGAATTAAAGTTTGTTTAAATGTTTCAGAAAGACGTAAAGATTAAGTCTTTCTGTTTGAAATATAATCTTTTTGCCATAAAAATCCTTTTTATTCTATTATATATACTGTACACAGTATATATAATAGAATAAAAAGGATTTGACCTGTAGGGCATTCTACATGTGGACATGTAGACCGTCCCTATATTCTAAAAAGCTCTGTGTCCAGAGAAAAGTGACAACCGGCTAGCTGACTGGACAAACATTTCTGGGAAAACGTTTCATGTGTTTATAACTTTATAAGCAAATTTTAATAGCAACACAAATAACAAAATTGTCCACATGGGTTTACTATATGTACAATGGCAGAACTATACCCTCTCAGGATCAAACAACTCTAGATGAAAAAAAACAACATAAAGAAGAGCATCTCTTTTCCAACAGACAGAAATGTAATCACATTTTACGTTTTTTATATATATATATAAAAACTAGGGTTACAGATTGTAAACATATTTGAGTAACATTCACGTCCAAAGATCAGATTTATTCCTCACACTGTTGTTTCACAATATCTACATTATTTGTTTGAATCATTCATGAGAAAGGGATTAAAGTTGCAGTTGCTTTGAGTAAAAACATACAACAAAGTAGTATGTTGAAATGGTAGCAGTTAAATATGAAATGAAATGAAATTAATTAATTAAAAAAAAACATCCTAAATGGACCAACTGATTCTTTTCACTTATTGTGGACTACGACAGAAAATCATTTATTTTTTCAGAAATATTACCAAATCCCCAAAAGTGTAAGGGAGCAATTACAAGACTTGAATGTTTAATAATTTACAAGTGATTTCCTCAGCTCATTCCGACCTGCTTTTCTGCTTCTTTTTTGTTGCACATTTCCTGATCTCCGAAACGTGAGGGCAGGGGTCACCGGAGGCACTTGGGAAATGCAGGATTTGTCGTGTGCGTGTTTCCTCTCCCCGCCTGTGGACCGTCGTGTTCTGCTTCCGAACGCACTGACCCCAACTTGTCCATTCTCCAACTTCGCAATGAACTTCAAGAGACAGAGGGGCAATCAGAAACTGTAACACACTCATCGGAGGGAGAGAGAGAGAGAGAGAGACAGAGAGAGAGAGATAAAAAAGCAAGGTAAGGATAGTGTCTCTCACCTTGGGGCATGCACTGCATGAGCTGGACATCAGGCTCAAAGCCTTTGGGACACGTGTGGTTGCACTGACCGTGGAGGAGGTACATGTCCGCTCTGCACCTCGTACAATTGTTCCTCCCCACACACAGCTCACATCCTTCAGGGCACTCTGACAAAGACAGACGCAATTTATCACGCTGCGTAGACGCCGGTTTGAGCCATTTTCATGTCCCGCGAAGGAGCGTCGTACCTGTGCATTCTCGCAGTGCAGCGTTTGCGGTCAGCCCGTTCGGACAGCTGCTTTCACATTTCCCCCAGTACAGAAAGTGGCCGGGATGACAGCGGGTGCAGAAGTTTTCACTGAAGCAGGAGGCGCAATCCACCTTGCACTCTGCAGGCCAATAGGAATGAACCTTGGTCAGTGCAGAGCAACCACATTGTCATCACCAGAAATACTGCTGCTTGTGCAGGTGGAACCACATGTGCACAAACAGTACAGAATATTGGAAAATAAAAGAAAACAATGCATTTTGAAAATAAAATTGGATGTTTTTGTTATTTTGTTGAATTTCCTCAGATGTTTGAAGAGCACAAACCTCTACCGATACAATTAACAAGACTTTGTTAAACATGGTAGTGTGGGGCTGCTTCAAAACTGAATGAACACCTAAAAGAGAAGGATTGGAGTCTAAGGAATAATTCCTAGCAAATGGACTTAGTTAATATCCTATTAAAGGTTCTCTGGAATTGATAAAACAATCTCTACCAGAAGGCCAATAAAATACACCAATTTTAGGTAACATGCTCAGAGTTTTGCCATAAATTGACACAAAAAAGTATTGGATGAATGCAGAATTCTCTAAGTGACATTAAAGCCCTAACAAATCACCAGAAAATCATAATTTCAGCACCAGATTTTTGTTTTAGTTTGCAAATTTCAGCAGGACAACAAACCTAAACATTAAACATGTAATAGAAGGCTTTAGATTAAAGAAAAACAAAGTTAAAACAGTCTAGTTAAAGTTCAGACCCAAATCCAGTTGTGAATCTGTGGTAACGGTTGCACATTAATGTTTACAGATACTCTTTAGGCACTTTGACCGAGCTTCAGCTATTATACAAAAGAAAAACGGGCAAAGGTTTTAGTTACTAGCAATAACCCTACCCTAAAGATAATAGAGACATGCCCCAAATGATTGCCGCTGTAAAAGCATGCCACACTTTTCAGATTTAGTCATCCAAAATGTCTAATTTCCTTTCCGCTTAACAATTATGCTCCTCAGTTAAGTTGCTCTTTAACATAAAATCAAAATATAACAAAAAAAGGCTTGCAATTGTAATGTAACAAACTAAAAATAAATAAATAAATAAACGGCCAATAGAGTGTGAACACGTTTGCAGAGCACTATATACAAATATATGCATCATTTTGTAAACCTTTGATCAAATCTAGGGTCTCTAATTTTCTTTATTTTGGGTACCTACTGATGCAAGTGCTGATGTGGGGAGAGCGCATGCCGTAGTGACCTCGGGGACAGGAGGACATGCACGTCCCCCTCTGCTGGATGCCGTCCAGCTCCAGGTGGAAGAAGAAGCGAGGCTTACAGGACAGGCAGCCGTTCAGCGGAGAGCATGTCGCACATCCTACCTGGCAGCCGCTGCCCGCCGGATCACTACCTGTCACAGGTTCAGAGGTAAACACGGAATTAAAATTCATCCTGCACGCATGAGAGCTGTTGGAAGGAGCTGGACTGGAAAAAAATTAAAAATAAACAAACATACTACTATTGAGGTTCAGATTACACACTCTGTTCAACAGACCCTGTTTTGCAAATATTCCAGGCTACATGCTTTTATGAGTTCTGATCTCAGCTGTAAATTCTCTGCCCTGCATGCGAGTAAATCAGATGGAAATCTATGACCACATCCTTCCCTGGAAGCTGAACAGTCCACGCTTATCGTCTCCATATGTACCCCCCTTCTTGTCCGCTCTGTCCCCTCGCAGGAGAGTTCACAGCGACTCGCAGTTGGTTTTGCAGAGTCGACGCAAACACCAAGACTCACGTTTAAATCTCAGAACGCTTGTGCCGTCCGGGCCTCTTGCAGCGCTCAGGAGCTGCAGCATCCAGATTAACGCCGGTATTTGCATTTTCCTTCTCCTTAAGTTCACCCAGTCATGCAGAGAGGCGTCACGTCACACCCGAAATCTAGCAGGGACGTTTTTGAATGAGTCGTTGTAGGGCTCCATGGCATTCCTTCAGTTGGGTCCATGCAAATACTGCAGCAGTGAAGTGTAGAAATGTTTTCTCCGAGAAAAAGTCCAGCGTGCGTTCCATGAGTTTACGCGAGCTGGCAGGATGGCGTGGGGAAAGCGGACAAGGGAAGAGGAGCCATCACAAGATAGTCAAGCCTCCAACAAAAAATGCAAGGTTTGGGTAAGCTCTTTTTTTTTTCTTCCTGCACATGTTCACACTCCCACCCTCCTTTCCTTTTTTCCTCATCCCTCCTTCTAATCCATTGTCACATCTACGGTTTCTGTTGCTCTGGATCAGTGCACAGACGGGAACTTTCCCCCAGCTCTTACTGAAGGTAGATTCCCCTTTTAGTTTAGTTTATTTTGTTTTTTTCCCACCTTTAAAGTCCATCTCCAACCCCCTGCCCCCATCCCCACTCTCCGTCTTCAATTGTAAATGATCTTGGTTGCTGGGACCAAGAATCAGATGAAGGCATCTGTGGTAAGTCTAGAAAAATAAAAACGATAAAAAAAAAAATCTTGTTTATGGAAGTAAAGTAGATGCTCATAAAACCCGAAGCACAAAGCTTTGACGACTCTGCACAAGTGCTGCAGAAGGTTTCTAGAAATTTCTCGGTCCTGCTGCATGGTTGCTTGTCGCAGCCCACGTGGCTGCAGGAAAACCCGCTTCCTGCACGACTGACCCAAACCGCAACATTTTTGCTTTTAAAAGCAAAACTCACCTGGCGACATGCGTCTCTGCCAAGGACGCGTGAACATTACGAAAACTTCAGCATCCCTTTTCAAAATGGGCAATTTATGCGGCAGTATCTCCATACAGACAGAAAGAAATGACATGAACGAACTCAGTCGGAGTTCAGATTGATCAGAGGTGAAAGGTCACCCTGCAGGAGAACCGGTTTTAACTGCAGCTCACGCAGATTAAAGATGAACTCATACATGTTCATATTTCACCAGCAGTTTACACTCACAGCATCAACTAGTTGTCATTCATTCAACTTTTTTGAAGATATTGTGACGCTGATTACATCATGTAGCATCTACAGCCTGTGTTATGTAGCCATGCAGCATCGTTACAGTAAAAATGAAGTAATAATTTATCAGTTGATTAGTGTGTCTGCAAAAACAGATCAGCATCAGGACATCAGGATGTTTCTTTTAAAAATTTGAATATCATCTTTCTCTGCTTGTTTTATACAATTGTGGATGTTTGAGTACAAAATATTTACCTTATACAATAATACGCTTTTTTTTTTTCTTTAACTGTATGGACTGGTGTGCTTAAAAAAAAAAAAAAAAAAAAAAAAAAAAAAAAAAAAAAAAAAAAAAACAGAATTAGAAAATAAAGTCCATCTAAAGCTGCTGGTGAGTTTTGGAGGAAACCAGAGACGAGTTCATAAAAACAACTTTGTGTTTCCTTTTATTTAAAACTCACTTTTTCCTCCACCCGTCACGACCAAGCCGACTGAAACCACATATAGAAGAAATATGCGTCCGTACCTTTTCTGTTCAAGGCTACCAGCAGCCATCAGCTGTGTGTTTTCCATTAAGAGACTGGTTCGGAAAATGAGAACCAAAACTTCGCTGGATGATTTGACTACCTCTCAATGAGAAAGCAAATTTAGAGATGTGCAAGTGTCATAGAGGATCTTTGCTAAAAAGACGGGGGGAAAGCTGGAGGACAGTCGAAGTTTTTGTTTGCCTTCCCGGTGTGTATTATCAGTTGTTTTGGGAACTCTGGGATGTTCTACATTCCCAAAACAGTTACTTGCATCCATAAAGAGGTCTGGGAATGCCTTTTCCCACTTATTTCACATTTCTCCCGCAATCTTCTCAGACCCTGTCAATTCACATCCCATCATCTTCTGGCTCTGAGGCCAAATGTTGGAGATAAAAGCGTACTTTTTTCCCCCCGTAAGCCCTCGTCCGTTCGCTCCTAGATCGATTTCATGCAATAGAGTTTAAGCAAAGCGGACAAAACATGTGTTCCTTGTTAAGAAACGTGAAGTTTTTTACTTCTGAGTCTGTCTGGAAAAATGTCACAGGAGGAAACAGCCAGAGATTTGCAGAGGGACTTCATTCCGGAGAGGATTCATGTTGGAAAAAATGATTTAAGAGAAGGAATCTAAAGAGAGGAGCTGGACAAGGCGTCATTTCAGCTTGGCTTCAGCTTTAATACACAAAAACAAACACATATATAATGAAAGACCAATTTTCTTCTAGGGGCGAAAGCAAAGCATGAATAGAGGACAATAAAATGACATGTGAGAGGAGCCGCTGGATGTCCAGCCAGCTGCTGCAGAGAAACATCATCCATCAACCAGTAGGGAGCAAAACTGCATAGATATATTGACCATCTCTGTGAAGCACATATGTTGAACTAGAGTCTCTGAAAACCAACTTTTTTTTTTTTTTTTCTAACAAATTACCTTGCACCCAACGCGCGTCCAAGTAAAAGAAGTCAAAACAGTTACATTTGGGTTTTGAAAACATGTGCAGATGTGTTATCTGAGGCTCCCGGTATAAAAATATGTGAATCACTGAGTGAGCAGTAAGTCAGATCTGCTCCTGAGAGACATGTGGAGGGCTCGGGCGACCGAGTAACACCTCCCCAAATCTGAGCAGGGAGTCAAACATGAGAAGGCAATGCTCCCAGGGGTGCCAGATCAGATTCTGGAATGAAAAAAAAAAAAAAAAAAAAAAAACGACATAAGGGCAAGGAATGTCTTCACCGAGGCCCGAATAAGTGACAGGAAGAGGAGAGTGGAGAGGCAGTCAGATTGTGCTGTACTCCATTATAGAGGTCCTTGAAGAAGTATTTATACACTTTATACTCCCTAACTAAAGTGATGCACAATTGTGAATTTGAAGGAAAATTATCTGCAGGCATTGTTTTTAAGAAATTCAAATCTGAAGGGTTTTCCATACATTTGTATTCAGCCCTCTCTGACATGAAACACCAGACACCAACCGTACACGGCTGTCCACCTAAACTTACAGGTTTTGCAAGAACATTAATTTGAGTCGAACATTCATTTTGAGACCAAAATTTGCCCTGTGTGTCAGAAAACTAGCAGTGCTCATCTGCGTGATCATACCGTCAAGGGAAACAAAGCGGTAGAGGATCATGTGGATGCTTTTCTTCTTACAGCAGCAGGGAAAATGGTCAGACAGGATGAAAAGATGGGTAGCTGCAGAATATGTAACTGGATGTACTGCTGGTAGCAGCTGATTAGCATCTCAGAAGCTCAAATGATACCTGAACTATGAGTCCTAAGTTCAAACCATCTCTTCCATCAATCATCATCGGAAAGGATCATATTCTGGAAGCCAACGTCTCTCTACCCGGCTTTCTAGCCGTACTGCCAGACAGAGATTTAAAGAGCAGCAAAAGCAAATGAGGCGGATCAGCAGTGCTTCCTTTAATTACCATCTCTGCTGCCCAGATATTGAGCTGTTGCCAGTCATGAGCAAGTCTTCAGTCAGAGGCCTCTTCGAAATTTTTATGAGGCTGACTGCTACTGGAGAGGAGACCTTTACAACCGGCAGCGCTACCATCCACAGCGACTCTCGAATGATTTGAGTGAAGACATTTCATTTCCCGTTAAGGTAAATAAAGTATTTTTGAATTTGACTGGATGTGGGACGGGAGTTCACCTTCCAGCAGGACAACAACCCTAAACATCCAGCCGGAGTTACAATAGAATTAAAGAGTATCTATGTGCGATAATGGCCCAGTCAAAGTCCATTTCTAAACCAAACTTGAGAAGCTGCGTCAAGATTTGCTCTCCATCTACTGTGACTGAGCTTGAGATATTTTGCAAAGAGGAATGGACAAAAAAAATAAATAAAGAAAATCTCGTCTCTAAATGTGTAAATCTGTAAATAAAGAACATAAATATAGATCAGACTTTACAGATTATTTATTGAAAATAAAACAAAAACATTCAGAATTTTCTTTCCACTTCACAAAAAAGCACTATTCTGTGTTGATGAATCATATAACATCACAGATCACAGCTGAAATGACAAAAGAGAGCCCTACAAAACATGAATCACTTTAACAGAACATGCTGCGTTTGCAAAATGAACCATAAATAAAAAAAATAATAATAATAAAAAAACTGTTATTCATAAAACAAGCAACACTGAAAAGATTTGTCTTTACTTTGACCTTTCCTTTTGTGGATGGCGTCTGATCAGTGGTGATAAGAAATTAGCAGGATATCATCTGATGGTGCAGATATTCTGTGTGCCGTGACGAAGCGAGGAATTCGAAGGGGGCCGTGAAGCGTGCAGCTGAAGACAGAAACCATGACGGATGAGCGGAGAGCGAGACGAGAGCCGAGCGGATGTCGAGCACTAACGCGCTGTGAAGAAGCCCCTAAATACAAGCCTGTTTCATGTCATAAATAAGCTCAGATATTATGAAATTAGTCTGGAATCGTCTGGATTATAGCTGTGAGACAGAGAGAGAGGAAAAAGAAAGCTCAACTGAGAGCCAGAATACAAGTAAAAAAAAAAAAAAAAAATTAAAAAAACAGAAAACCCACACAGAGACAGAGTGAATAGGGAAATAAAGAACATTTTAGCAAAAGAGATTTAAAAAAAATAAAAGCGTCAAAAGACTTTTATGAAAAAGTTCTTCACAATACTCCTCGTCTTCTTCATCCTCTTGCCTTCCTTAGCACTTTCTACAAAAAAAAAATAAAATAAAAAGAATCAGGTAAATGTCAGAATCAACACAAAATACGAGTTTAGTGATCTTTTTAAAAACTGCATTTGAAGCGCAGTTTAAGCATTCATGTGAAAACATTAGATTTTCAGTCTGAGGACAATAATGCAAGCTAAACTGTAAACATTGTTTCAGTTCAGTAACTGAATTAAGCAAATATGGACCGTTTAAAGAACTACAAAATTATAATTTATGTATGGATTAAAGCATATATTTCTAACCTTTATGTAATCATTACTAAAGTTTTAACAAAGTGCATCAAAGAACATGTTGCTGGTTACAGACGAGTAAAAAAGTTTTGAGTTTGAAAGAATTTAATAAACAGAAAAATATAAGTATATGGGTTTTTCTTTTTTGTCCTGCTGATCATTAAAAATTTCAGATTTCAAGAAAAGGGTGCCTGACTGGTTTACAGACATTAGGCTCTTATTTATATTTATTAATATTTAATCTAAACAAATCATGCCACCTTAGTAGCTGGAACATTTTCACCATCACATTCCAGCTAGAGCTTTCAGATCCTGACTTGGTGGTGGTCTCCAGTCGGTATAACAGGTGTTATTACTGTGTACGGTTGAGTTATAAGCCTGCAGGATTGCTGTAACTAGTGTAGTAAATTAGGGCATTTGTTTTTATTTGCTTTATTGTTATTTAAACAGAAATATTTGTGTTTGTGAGGCCCCAAACTATGCAATGATGAGTTGAACTAAAACAAGAGTATAAAGAAATTGGGCTTTTTTTTTTTCTGAATAAATACTGGAAAATATTATGACAGAATTTTTCGTTCATACTGCCCATCCTGATATAATAAATAAAAATGCTGTGAAGAGATGACGACGAAGAATGTTCTCAGAAATTCAAAAATTACACGAGAACGACAAAAAAAATGCTCAAATATGATGATACTGCTACAGAAGGTGCCCGTTAATTGAGCACCTTCTGTAGCAGGTGCTCCTGTTTATGGAAGGAAAAAGTGTAGCTAAGGAAAACAACTCTAAACATTTTAACAGATTTTGAAGCAAGGCTCATTCAAGAGCTTAAAAAGGGTCAAAGGGCAAATGTGGCTGAAATCTTTGCTTCAGGAACAACCAGACACAAACCTAAGTAGGGCTGTAAAAGTTGCAAACAGGACTTGGGAGCTGCCCACTCTGAAAAAGTACCGGTGAACCACCTGACATAATAGAGAGTCTATTGAAAATTATGAAGAGGAAGAAGAAAACCTGGACTTCCTTAAAACGTCAGCAGAGGTACAGGCTGATCAGGTCCATGCCATGCCGTGTTGAAGCAGTAATTCATGCCAAAACAGCCTCAGCCAAGAAGTAAGGAGTCAAAATTCTCAAGTTACATTTTAAAATGCTACTTTTTACAAAATGAACCATTGTGAATTTAATCTGTTAAGCGCTTCTCTCTTTTAATTGTTCACGCTAGGATTCATTAATTGAGGTACGCTGTAATATCTGGTAAACATAAAACTAACCCTGATGTGATTACACGTTTTCACACTTATTTAGCATGTTTTTGTAGAGGAAAACACACAATACTATTGAAAAACTGCCCAATACTGAGTGTTTAAATCGTCTTTAGAAAGGGAGCAAGATCACTTACTAAGTACTTAGTAAGTACAGAAACTCATTTAGATTTTTAGCCATAAAAATCTAAATGAACCCAAATGGCCTTCATGTAATCCTAGTTTTAAGAGGTAAGCTAAAGGCGCCGACCTTAGACACTGCTTTGACATGGTGAGCTCTGATTGTTGCAGATTTCTCCTCAAACGCCTTGGCCTTCGCCTCTTCAGCCAGGCTGTTCAGGAACAATAGTGTCAGTAGTTCAATCTGAGTGGAGACGGAAAACAAAGCAACTGTTTAAGTCGCAGGCACTTAGCAGTTATCTAGCATTAACAAACGAAAACACTAACTGCGAACAGGGTCTATCCGCCTACCATCGCCTCCGAGCCCGCTGCGATGTCCACGTTCCCCTTTGCTTTAGACCTTATGGTGCTCTTTAGCTTCGGCGGCTTTTTCAGCATTTTTGTGAATGCTCCGGCTGCAATTCACAAGGTTGTTTACTCTGTTTACGTTTTCCAATCTCCCGCTTCTCTGACTTCCGGTGCAATTAGTTCTTCGTGCTTTTTAGTCGCTTGTGTGTCTTTCAACGTGGCCGCGCCTCCTACCGTTTTTGAACAGTTATTTCGACCAACTCAATGAAAATTATTATATTACACATTGGGTGTTTAAAAAAAATCTTCATTTTTAAGACAAACACGTCATGTTTATGTATATAAAATAAAAATAAGTCCAGAGGCAAAGATGAAGAAGAAAAAAGAAAAAGCATAACTATTTTCCCTTTGATTAATCAGATTAATGCTGCCACCTCGCGGCTGTTTCCAGGTACTACATGAGTCAATCTGGTCTTCTACATCCGGGTAATCAGATAAAAGATGGCAGCCCACAGTGAGAAATCAGCCGGTATGAGTAACATGCTGCAATTTATGAAACTTATCGGACAGCTAAAAGTAAGACTTATGTGGTGATTTTATATTTTATCTGCAATTAACTAACTGAAAGCGCGTATGAAACGCGCTTTCAGTTGCTGCAGAAGTCACTTGCTGCTGAAGTCAGGCATCTAAACAATCCACATTAATGCTAAAGCTCAAGAGAGTAGACTAAATGTACAACACAGGGTTTAAACTAAAGTGCTGTATTGATGTGCTGACTTAATACATTTCCAATTTAGATCGGATCAGTTAACTTAAAGTGAATTATTGATGAATGTTGTTAAAGCTCGTGTTTGGTAAATACGTGAATTCCACTTTTCAGATTTATATTGTAGAAACAAAAACATTTATTAATTTTCTTCCACTTCACAATTCTGTTCTGCATCATGTTGATCCACCACATACTTATTTGAATTCTTAAATACTAATTTACTAATGCTAATGCTTTTTTTTTTTTTTTTTTTGCAATGCTGTGTGTGTTTGAGTCTAAATTTTTAAAGTTTCGATGAATCTGAATGTTGCTTACAGAGGGTCCCACGGACCGGCTGGGTGTACAACAATGTGAGGAATCCTGAGAGCGTGTCAGACCACATGTACAGGATGGCGATGATGTCTCTGACCATCACTGACCCCACAGTAGACAGAGACAGGTGAGTTGCGGACACAAACGATTTTTGTGGAATTTTTGATCACCTTTAGGGGAGAAATGATCGCATCACCAAATGGGAGAATCACCTATACCTGTCTACTTATCTCATTTCCACACTCAGGTGCATAAAACTTGCACTTGCCCATGATATGGCAGAGTGCATTGTGGGAGATATTGCACCGTCAGACAACGTCAGTAAAGCAGAGAAACACAGGAGAGAGGAGGCAAGTGAAAAGTGTACTAATACGGCATATTTTTAAATACGTTTTAACAAACTTTATCTTCGTTCACTCAGGAAGCAATGAGGCATCTGTCAAGTCTGCTGCCGGACGGTCTGAAACAGGAGATTTATGCTCTCTGGGAGGTATGTTGACTTTGGATGAAGCTTTGTAAGGTTTGTGCATCCTTGACCTTTCCTTTGTACTGTAACTACATTTAAGTGCTGTGAAAACACTGTTTGTTTGTTACAGATTTCTTCAGTTTTGCTATTTAATCACTTTTAGATGTTTTACATGATCAAACAGATTTGAAAATCTGCCATAACTTGAGTACATTTAGAATACAGTTTTCTGAAGATGATTTCAAATTTTATAGGGAAAAAAAAAAAAAGATCCAAACCAATCTTGTTCAATTACTGTCTCACTCTCAATTTACTTCTTCGTCTGGTTCAATTTCGGTCACCAAATGTCTTTGAGTCCTGTAGACTCAAGAAATCAGTTCACACTTCTTAGTTTGGTCAGGATTTTAAAGTCATTTACAAGCCATTTATACCAAACACTTGCCTTTTAAAGAGATGCTGTCTTTAGGGAGTATTTACTTTTTCAAATACTTGAAGTTGGTATGAATATCCTTCCCCCCCCATATAAATAAAACTGTAATTTGAAAACCACACTCAGTATTTATGTTTTCGTCAAACCATATTTGAAACATTTAATTGGGCCTAAAAAGCAATAGTAAGAAATTTGTAATGGGATTTTTTTGTGTGTGTGGAACAGGAGTACGAATCCCAGAGCAGTCCAGAGGCCAGGCTGGTGAAACAGTTTGACCTCCTGGAGATGATCATGCAGGCTCACGAGTACGAAGAGCTGGAGGGAACGCCGGGAAGACTGCAGGAGTTCTTTGACTCCACCGCAGGTAGGAGTCCTGGCCCGGCGAAACGTTCTCCCTTTACTTCTGGGTGTTGGACAGCGTTTACTTCGTACCAAGGAATTGGCGTGCAATACTTTTAAAGCAGTCTGATTTTAGACATTTTTCCGTTTCTACCACTGAAGGTCGCTTCCACCACCCAGACGTCCTCCAGCTGGTCAGCTCGCTAAACGAACAAAGAGGAAGCAGCACCAAGGAGCTGAAGGAATCACAGACCGACTGTCCAGAACCTCAACACTAACAATGTCACAAATGTTCTGACTGCAAAAAAAAGGGGGGAGAAAAAAAAATTCTGCTGTTGGATGAAGAAACAAAGAAGGAGAGAAGCCTGCATGTGCAAGAAGAGCCAATCAGAGGAGGTGAAATCCTACTTCATCTGTTCAGATCAGCAGATAATGAAACTTTAGTTGTTTTTTTTTATTTTACAACAGATGTGGATTTACCACAAATCAAAATCAAGTTCATGATTTCTTTTTCTACAAATGAGTCACCTTCAAAATGGTGCCACCATAGAGACTGCTGCTGTTTAATATGGTCAAATATGTGCAGCAATTTACTGAACAGAAAGGATTTTGTTCAAGTTATTGTAGCTGGTAATAATAGTCGGCAAAATATAAAAGTGGAAGTTTTGCTGCATTATCTGAGATCTTTTTTCATATATATATATATATATAAAAAAAAAAACAGGACTTTCCAACTGAAAGTTTCCTACATCAACCAGGTTTATTGATGAGCTTTAAACACTTTAACATTATACATATCAGGTAAATCCAACGTCACAAAAGTTATCTATAAAAAAAAAAGTAGTAACTGTCATAACACCAATGGTTTCTTCCATAATATGGAGTTTTCATGCAGAATATGCCTGGGAGGAACAGAAACGCATACAAAATGAGTTTGTGAATTAGTTGTTTTTTTTTTTACATGCTTCAGGATATTGCAGTAAATTTTGCATTAATTTCATATTTGCCAAGTTAAATCAGGCTTGTACATTCAGCGTCGCTCTCTTTACATTTTCTTTGGGTTGATAACTGTTAACGGTTTATATTGACATGTGATTATGGAGTCTTATATGGCTGTATTTATTGCATAAACGCAAACTGTGTCCTTTGTATTTTTCATTAACACAAAACATTACCTCGACAAATGACTCTTAGTACCTGAATCCGGATGCGAGTTTCATAAAAAAAAAAAAAGAAAGAAAAAGTTTAACTCTGGCGCCCTCTAGAGCCACGGGAAAGAAATCCTTCATTATCCGAAATCTATAAAATAATAAAGTTATTTTCATGGCAAAGTTACAGAGCCCACACAGATTCAATCAAAAAAGAAAAAAAAATATATAGTGTGCTTAACAGTAACTGTTTAGTAAGTCTTTTCGGTTTTTTGAAAAATCGTAGTCGTATACTCTTAATGCACACGACACACATACACAGATGTTTTATCAGTGTTTAACATGTAACAAAGTGAATGGGACACTGTAACATGCAAGACATTTTACTTCTTAACAGCCTTCTGTAGGTTTGGTAGTGTAACATCATCTGTGACTGAAAGCTTCTCCCTGTTTTAGTGGATAAAACTGTTCAAGTAAAACGTGAAGAATTACTTATAGTGCAGCAGACTGAAGATGGATGGAGCTGTTTTACTAGTGTCAGATTGATCCTCTGTTCAATTTTAGAACAATCTTTTCCACAGCAAGAGCTGAAAAGTGGACTATGATCAATGTTCAAAGTTCATTGTTTACCTCATGAGATTTCAAATGCTTTTAAAAATCAGCCACCTTGATTTTCCAAATTAAAAACAAAGGTGTTTTAGCCAAGCCTAAATAACGTGGCGTTGCCAGGAGTTTCGTTGGACTCACAGGATTTACACGAGATTTGTCTGCAAATCAAAAACACCGCTTTCCGCTTTGGTCAGAAATTCTAGTAGATCCACAACAATGTGCTGTGACACAGCAAGACGGCGGTCCGGAGCCCTAACAGGGTTTCTCGGAGATGTCCGTCAGGTTGTTGGTGGGCGTTTCCTGAGAGCTGGCGTTGGCTGCAGACGAGAGGACTTCCTCGAAGCTGCCTCCGGTCCCAGTGCCTCCAACTTTAGTCTGGTATCGAGGGGAGACGACAGAAAAGACAAAAACAGAAGCATGATGGAATTAGAAGCTGTCAAAAACGCCACCATCAAGCTTTTGCACTGTGGACTGGAGTGAACTCAACTTCTTTATCACCAGCATTACAACTAGAGCTTAAAACCTAAATTAGTAAATTAGCATCATTACTACATGCATCTAACTCTTTTACCCTGCAGCTTACAGAAGAAGCAAGTCGTTTCCAAAACACAAGTTAGTCACAAAAGTTCAACCAGAGGACGCCACGGCGTGTATAAATAATCCGTGCTCTCACTGTCACAATGCATGATAGTAATTACACACAGATTACAGTGTTTAGCTTGCTTCATTCCACTGTTCCTCTGTAGCATGTGGGAGAGGAAGCTTTTCAGCCACACAGACTCACAGAGACTCGCATACTGTGTTAGAGCGTCGTGGGGAATGACCTGTTCATGACCGCAGTCAGGAAGCAATCGCTTCGAAACAAGTGCAACGCCAGAAAGAGCTAAAAATGACTAAATATCAAGTGAGAGTAGGAACACAACAGGAACACAAAGAAGTGGTCCATCCTTTATCAGATGATGGACGACAGTGCTTGATTTTTATTTTTTTTTATAAATATGCAAGTCTTTAATTACAGAATGCTTTAATTATGCTTTCAAAGAAAAAAAACTGAATAAAAAATATTATTTATTCTACTACTTATTTAAATGCTATTATCCAACCTATGGCAGGTTTACTGTTCCCTCAAGTTGTATTCTAGTGGGACAACTATCTTAAATATGACAAAAAAATACCACAGTTTTAATACTCTACCTTTAAAAAAAAAAACTGCATATACAGCTTACCTTAATGGTGGAAACTGTATTTTCAACTTTCTCTTCAAAGGATCTGAAGCTGGGTGAGTTTCTGTTGGACAAAACACATTAGAATGTGTTTGTAATTTTAGAAAATTATGGGGTTTTTTGTATATTTTAAGAAATATACCTCTTTCAATTCACAGATTCAATTGGGACATTGTTACTTAGATAGAAGAGGGAGAGCTAAACAAATTTAAACAACTTTGTATAAACCTAAAACAGGAGGAAGCAGGGATGGCAACTGATAAGAGAGGGTGGGAGCATGTGAAAACATTTCAGGTATTTCAAGCTGCTTTAAAGAGCCAAAATAAAAAAAATAAAAAATAAAAAGCATTTCCCACACAGAAACACACACAGTTTTTTACCTCATGGTAGGCATGCTCACAGAATGCCTGACAGAGTATCTGTCCCCAGAGAGCGTGGCGAGAGAGGAGTCAATGATTAGCTCAGATCACACACAGAAGCAACATCAACAGTTTGCATGTGCAGCGTTCGTCCCACAGCTTCTCCTTAGCTTAGACGCTAAAAATCTTTGCCAACAGGAACGTTCTTATGTTGCTGCGAGAGTCTTTAAGAAAAAAAAAAAAAATGAGGATTTCACTTCTCATCTTGACTGTGCAATATTGTTTAATTAAAGAAGTCCATCATAAGTCCAACCAGATTTATGTTTATTTAGTTTTTCTGAATCGTTGCTGAACACAACAGCTGATTGAGTTCAGCCGTTGGGCGCGATAGCAGCAATTTCTAAGCTGGCCAAGTGCTCACCGGTGCCATCCAGCTGGTGTTGACCGCTGATCTGACTGAGATATACCGAGTTAAGAAGTCTTAGTAAGAAGCGACTAACTAATGTGACATAACCGGCTGAGTGATTCTTACCCTATTGAGTTGGATCTTCGAAAGCATGAAGGGGAAACAGAGAACAATTTAGATGTTTTTACAACCTTCAGACTAGACGCTTCTTCCATCACAATCATGCGGTTTTAAATTCACCCATTTAAAATGGTGACGGTAGAAATGGAAAGCCATTTCAAAAAACAAGAGAAAGAGGAAATAAACAGAACAATGCAATAATAAATGCAAAGGGAAGCAAGCGAGAGAAACATTTAGTCACATGCAAAGCAGACATTAAAACAATGAGGATGGTTTTTGAAGACAACGCCCACCGCACAGCAAGAAGAAAAAGTTAGAAGTTATTTAGAAAGTAGAAATTAATCAAAACATTACTCCCCCCCCTATCATTCATCTAATCCTTATTTTCACTCTTTGTGTAATCAGTGTTTATCACAGCACCGCACACCGACTGGCACACTATTTCTTTTTCACTTTAAACCTGATCTAATGTCTTTGAACTTTTAATTAACACACCCTAACTTGACACACAGGCCCAAAGTTTATCTTGCCACCACTCAGAAGTTTAGTAAAGGAATCAAAAACAAAATCTCCACAGCTACAGTCAACAAAACTGTGGAGACCTGAAGAAAAGAGGAGAGAATTATTCATAGATGAATGAATAATATCTTGCACGATGCATTATTCGCCCTATGAGACATCATAGCAGAAGATCAAGGACTGCTCTGCTAGCTAAAAGGCTACACTAGCAAGTGTAGCGCTTATTTTTCTGGCTAAGAAATTTGAGGGATTCTGCATATTTAGGTAAAACCAGTCGAGGCAGCAGACAGCAGAAGAACTTTTCAGCTTTTTCTGAAACATCTTTGTGCTCAAAGAGGAAAAACAATCTGTGTGCAGAAACACATACAGATTGTTAAAGAGAGAGATGCATACAGTACAAGGGAGAACAAAAGTTCAGAGGTTTTGATATTTTCCAGTACATGTGAAACACCCACAGCAAATAGACTTCATTCAAATGGTGGAAATCTACCTGCGCGGAAATAGTAACTCTAAACCGGCCATGCTGCAATACAAGAAGAATTGACACAAGTATTTGCCTTCAGAAAACCCATGTCCTAAAAATCATTTCTCTCTCTGTCAGGTAACAAGAACTACCAACAGAATATTGTTTTGTCATTTATCCAAATAGTTTAAACAAAGCGCCGAGTGTGTGATTATGCTTCTTTCCTATTTGTGCTTCACTTGTTTCAGACAACTCTATGCAGACACGTATCGTGTCTAGTTTTTTACACCAAGAATTTGGAGCCAAACAACTCAGTCTGCTGGAAACAAGAGAAGACAAGAGTGTGACTGAAGGAGACAGGCTTTGCCATGAGCCTTTCAGCTCCCTCAGAAAGCAGCTTAATGTTGGCTTACATAATCACACGCTTCCCTGAATTGTTCAGAGCAAGAGTTACGACTCTGGTCTCTGGGATGCAGAGATGGTAGCAGATAAAGCACCATGCGTCAGATGGCGTTTGGGTAAAACAGGTCAAACTGGGTTAGTTATGCAGATTAGTGGATAAACTGATGGCGGCTGTATGTTTGCCTGACTGTTCCTCTCAGTGATTCTTGAATGTTGAGGATATACTTTTAATTGAAACTACAGCTTGGGACATCTGGGGAGTACCTTATGGATGTAATAGACTGCATTGATGCAACCTAAAAGAATAACATTTTTTAGTAGGCCTATAGATGAATGTCTGCAGTCTTTAAAGGTTTTTGTCTCCTGTTGACAGTTATGAAGCAACAATCAACAGCTTTCAATACACAAGATGTTCTATATGTAGTGCCGGAGGAACAAATTCTGTGGTGCATTTTGTTCATGTAGTTTGCATATTTTACCATTTTTAATCCATAAAGGAAGGACTTCCTCCACTTGTAGCTAAGTCACAAAAGTATAAACTAACCTAACTTAAGCTTAACTAGGATAAAACAAAACTACACTAAGCCAAGAAAAACTGAACTTATCAAAAATAGTCTAAGATAAACAGAAAAAAAAAATCCAAGGCTAAAAAAAAGCTAATTTTAGCTAAAACTAATCTGGAATACACAAAGCTAATAACATAATCTAAACAAAACTTATCTGAGATAAACTAACCAATCCTGAATGAAACCAACATATACCATGTTAAAATAAACTCAGCTAGGATAAACTAAGAACAAAATAAGCTAAGTTACACAACGCTAGCCCAACCTAAAACATCAAGGAGAGCTTCACTTTTTTTAAAATAGAAAAATAACACTGACAGAAAATAGTATCTTGTCAAGAAACTACAATCTTATGCAAAGGTATTAAACCCCTATAACTGATATATATTTTACCTCCATTCAGCTAGATATTATTATAATCTTGACAATTTTTTATTCTCCAGGCTTCTTGAGGATCTTTAAAGCTTTTACTTCAGATTTTGGCCAGTTTTTTCAAAAATGTGTGTTTGACACAAACAGGAAGTAGCCCAGCAACATCCCTGAGATCCAATTTACAGTAGATGTTTGCCAAGTTGTCTCTCATGCACAGGCATGTTCATCCCACTGATTTAAAATGATAGCAAAAGCAGCCAAACTCTCATATTAGATTTTATGAGAGACCTTCATACAATCTAATAATTACAAATTTACAAGGAATTAGTAACACTGGCAGTTAAATCAAGCATATTACAGCTGAGATGCCTACAGTAAACAGAAAGCACATGAGCTTTGTTATGATGAGAAAATGTTGTCCAGTGTTCTACCAAAAATCCAATTTAGCTGTCTGTGCAAGCAATAAGCCAAGGCATTTCCTCTTTTCCAGTTTGATTAATGTTAAAAGCATCCTATTTACCTTGTTTTCTACTGACGGGGCTCAGTGCTCTGAAATATACTCTTTGGGATTGTTAAGGCAATACAGAAATCACTGGTTAGTATGAAGAAAACAGTGTTAAATGCGGCGACATATTTTGTTTACCTCATGTCTCCGAACTTCCTGGTGATGGCGCTCCCGAAGTTACTGAAGGCAGCTGAGGTTTTCTGTCCCGCGGTAGACAGCGTCTCTGATGTCTTCTTGTATCTGACAAACACACAATAACATGGACTGTATCTGACAATGAGGTCCTTTCTGTGTTTGTTCGAATCCCCCCCCCCACACACACACACCCATAGAAATATGTCACTGTCATACACACAAACGCAACACAAGCCATATACGAGGGAGAAAAGAAACTTGAATGTAGCAATCTCAAAGTAGGTCTAACAATTAGGTCTGCGTTCATTTTGACTTGAATTGTAAATTATTTTATAAGAATTCCTGTGTTGATCTTAACACTACCTTGGTATTTGGATTTGCATTAACATCTGGATCAAATATGGCAAATTTAGGCAGTCAAATGTCTGCGTTTTCCGATGTGGAGACCTCATCCTCCTGTGGCTACACCGATGCATTATAGATGAGGCAGAGGCTGTGTGTGTAAAGTGATCTTCAGAGTAAAGTGCAACTGGATAAGAGAAGCAGCCTCCAGAGACTGTAGTCTCTTGTTCTATACGGTCTCTTGGTGTTTGGATTGAAGCTCTGCTCTACCACCCAACTTGGGACGTTCAATTGTTTATCAGCACATAGAACGATTCAAATATGGTAAACTACTTGTTTTTCTTCCTGGGGCTTGATGTACAGTACCCACAGTTTTCTGTATCTTTGTAACTGGAATTCTTCACAAACTGGGAAAATTTACAACAACAAAAAAAAAACACATAAAAATAAACAAGAATTCAGTGTTTTGTTGTAGAAAACTGACATTTCATGGATTAGGGTGCCTACTAAAAGAGCACATTCTGTTAATGGTGTTCTGAGATCAACTGCAGCCTCCAGCAGAGTTTTTAAAATCAGTTTAATGATGTCTGTTTCAGACGGCGGAGATAACAACCAGCGCACGCACACGCTGTGCAGCGACCAGACAAGGATTGCGCTTTTAGCTCCCCGTTTTAAAATCAGTGTTTTGCAAACAGACTCTGTGTGAACTGGGAGTCCCTGCAGGCGGTCAGGAAATAAACCACCCATTATTTCTGTCTGTTTTAACTTTGAGCGCTTACGGAGCACGTTCATGTTGACAGCAAACAATCTGCCATGCGCTGGCCTGACACCAACGTCTCACACGGACTTGTTAACTTACGCCGTGGAGCTCTGCATGTCCTGCCAGCCTCTGCTGAAGTTGTTCCTGAACTCGCTGAGAGGAGTGATGCCCAGCTTCTGTTTGAGCTCCGCGTGCTGCTTCTCCTTGGACAACAGGACCTGCTTCAGTGTGCTGATCTCTTCTTCCAGCTGGCCATGCACAAAACAGATAGTTTTGTTGTTTATTTATTTTGTCTGGGTTTGATGATCTGCTTATGCGTCTGTGTGCGTACTTTAGTCATCTCCTGCAGAATCTCTTCTCTCTCCTCCTCGGTCATGTTGGAGTTGTTCAGGCTGACTTCTGACGCCAAATCCTCATCAGCCTCCCTCAGAGGCTGAGAGTCTAGAAAACCTGTTTGAGAAGCAAGACATTCATGGGAGATCTTTGGGAACTTGACGCTTGGATGTAGTAAATCTCGAATAAATCTACTGGCTCTGGAGTCAGATAACGCCAAACAATCTCACGAATCTGTTCCTTTTTGTTTCTAGAGGAACACGAGTTACTTCCAACTTTTATGACTTCCAGTTTTTACATTTTGCTGCATTTCAATTCAGTGTAAATAATACCAGAGCTGTGCTCAGTGTCATTATACAGCCAAAGCAGAAAGGAAGTCCCCGTGCTCTGCTTATTTTCCTACTTTGCATGCCTTCCTTTTCTTCTCTGTGTAAATTATGTGCTGTCCTCTGCCTAACAGTGTCTGTCTCCAAATGTCTGACTGTCTTGTCTCCATGTCTGGCTGAATCTCTGACCGTTATGTAATCTGCGGCTGTAGCCTGCAGGGTTTTAATCTGCCTGGGCTAATGTGGATTATCTTGCCTTAACTCTCTGCTAGCCAACACTACAGTCTGACATCCCTCACAAAAACCTACACTGACCAGATGCTGTCAAATTACTCAGGAATGAATGGATTCCAAGCTCTCCTCAGATATTAAGTTCGGCCCGCTCCCGACCGTTGACAAAAGGCAGCAGCGGTTTATGAGTCTAAAAAGAGATTTAAAGAAGTCTCAAAAGACTTTTTTTTTCTTCCCAGATAATTCTAATAATAAAAGGAGAACAAATCTCTAATTAGAGAATGGTAAAAACTAATTGTCATCACTCCCAAGTTTGGCCGTTCAGGCAAGAGATATGAGAAAGAACCTGCACTGGTTTAATTTCATGCAACACTTACAAGGAAAAACATTCACTCCCTACGAAAAGCAAAAAGGCATCAAGACTAAAGATTGCCAGAGAAACTAGACAAGGACCGAGGCAATCAGAAAACTGATTTATTCGGACACTACAACAAGGAATATTCTATTGATATCTTATGTATTAACAAAAAATGAGGTTAAACATTAATATGTTATAACTTCTTAAAACACTGAATATTTAATGAAACATTTTAATTTTTTCACTTGACTGTATTTGTGGTAATCATGCAAAATGGAGATGAGAGAGTTGGTACATTATTTAGTTTATGGCTATGTTTTTTTTTTAATCTGTGTAATCAATAGCACTAAAATCCACCGGTAGTCACCTTGTCAGTAAACCTTTCCACATGATCTGAGTCAGTTTGTTTTAGCCCTGTTCTGCTAATAATCCTGGTATGTAGTCAACATTAAAACATCTATTTTGCTGGAATAAAAACTGGGCAGTTCTCCAAGTTAACTGCCCAGGTTTGTTTTAGACCAAAGAGTGATGAGTGTCACTTGTTAACATGAGATATTTCTTGCCATTTTTACTTCCATTAGCTTATACACAGTGTAGAGAAGCAAAAGGAGTAATCTACTTTACACAGAGGAGAAAACTATCTGTTAGATCTCGTATCTCATTAAAAGGATTTCAAATAGGGCGATTTAAAACGTTAAAGGATAGTACGCTTTTTTTAAAACTAACTCATGCACTGAAACCAGAGATCAACTCATGCCCAACATCAACAGATAATAAAACGTATTAAGGAACACCAGCCTGGCTGTGTAAACACAAAACAAGGAAGACAGGTACATGCAGACCGTAGCCTCAAGGTGTGTGTTGTGGCCCTAAAGCAGTTTTGGACCATTTTAACAAGATGAAAGGGATTTACTGTACCTGCAGTGAGGTGTCCTCTCTCTTCACAAGGGTGCATTATAAAACATGTGAGTAGACATGGGGTCAGTAGAGGCTGTTATACATTTATTTATCCCTTAAAAGGGGCACAGCAGCACTTCAGGTAGGTAACACACAAACACAGGCAACTGAAACCAGGCAACTCCAGCGCAGCATGCAGCGGCTCACTTCAACAAAACCAGCATTTCTATAACACGGAGCTACTGCAGCCAACACTACACAGCAGGAGGACAATGACACTTTTAAACCCCTGCAGCTCCAAGGCTTTTTATGTCCGAGTGCATTTAGGATTTGTTCCAGTTTAGATCGACATAAAAAGATGTTTTAAAAGCAAAAGCCGGGGAAAGGAGAGGAAGTACCCGTTTAACCTTTTGCTTGCTACGGAGATCCAAAAATGTATAAGATGTATTCGCAATGAGGCCAACAGCCAATAACTCTGACACTAACAGCAAATACTACCCAAAAATGAAATTATATTGTTGACGTCTTGCATCTGCCAGCAGGTGTCGGACATTTCATGATTTGTCATTTCATCAGTTTACAATTTTGGTTGTTTTGTGCCAAACGTGTAGAAATGTGTTCCTCATCTGAGGCCGACAAATGATTGTAATTCTCGTTCTATCGTCTAACTATTATCTCACTGCAAGGAAAAATGGTAATGTCTGTCTAGTAAATAATATTATACGTTGCCCAGAGTTACCTTTTAATTTCCTAAATTCCTCCAATGTGGAAGAATGAAGGTTTTCTATTCCATTTATCCTAAAAATCAACTCACCCAGACACAGACAAGAAAAGCAGTAAGTGGAACTCAGGCGTAATGTAAAATTATCTTGAAATACAATCAATGCCTACTTATAGGTGAAATTGTAATATTTGCTTAACTCACTTACAAGAAACTTCACCACCACAAGAAATAAACCGATGCGTAGTGGATACATATATGGGCTTGAAATGGTTTGCTTTTGGGTGTGAAACAGAAGGCGGCCGGGACAAAATGGTAGCGGTGAACGCTGGTGATGCAACATTTCTTTGAGTGGTTGAAGTTCAGAGATGAAGTTCAACCATCTCTGTTTTGTTGGTAGGATGATTTCTGCCAACAAAACAAGCTTTTCTTACTGCTGAGCCACATCATCATGCAATGGTATGGTAGTAGGCATATTTTAGAAGACATTTTTAATGTAGGCATAAAAGGACAAGCATGTTCCATAAAAAAGTGCCTCCTGGCCCATTGGATTGTCTTTTAAAAGTGGAACAACCTTCATTTTGTTTTTAACATTTGAATTTGATCATACTTATTTTTTCAAGCTTAATATTTGTTTTGATAGGCATAACAGGTTAATTTTTACGAAGACTTTTTGTCTATTACTTTAAGCTAAAACACATTTCTTCAAGTAGAAATACCCAGTAAAAGTTACTGGTCAGTGTGAGTCATGGAAACTAAAAAAAAAAAAAAAATTGCACATGCATACACAAATTGTCAGAAAAAAAGTTCATTAGAAAAAGCTTGGTTAGCATTTAGCTTGCATGGCCAGCACAAAGCTGTGGCTTTCAGTTGCAGTATGATGAGTCAGGTTTTTGGAGAAACCTATCATCTCTAAACCAGTTTATAACCAAGCTAAACTAAATATTGATGCAACATTTGAATTAAATATCTTGTATGCTAATTCATGCAATATAACAAATGAGCCATGAAAGCAGCAGATTTCACATTTGTTGAGATGGTAACACAGATGCTTTTAACTGGATCCTTGATATTATAAGTTTCAAAGATTTGCATTTGGGAAGCTCATTTCTTAAAAACACATCTTACTTATGGTGGTGGATATGAACAGAAAGCCCATCGACTTAAATATCTTCTGGTAATAATACGCCATCATAATTCAGATTAAAATAAAAAGTCTTGAAATAATAGCCTTCCTTCTCTCCCATAACCCCAACTAAAATAAAAACATGGGTTTCAATATTCAACCGAAGTGAAGGGTCGTCTACTCTCTACGTTCTAGTCTATGTCCCTTTTCACCTGTGCCGTCTAGCTGCATGTCCCAAGTGGTGGACATGGCCCAGCTGTCAGACTGACATCCTGATGTGCGTGACCACTGATCCTCCAAATGGGATGTGGTGTGACCCCAGTCTGTCAGGTTTTCCCCGTTTTGGACCAACGGGACCAAGTCCTCCCCGTGTGAGCTCTTCCGACTGGATTCCTCACCACCAGAGTGGTAAAATTTATCCAAACCTGAGCAGAGTGACAGGTGAGCGCATTTGGAGTCTGTTACATCAAGGCCAAGACGGATTCTTTGTAACTTAACCAACAACAAAAAATGAAGGAATCAACCGAGTTGTGAAGACACATTTGTAGGCGAGACTAAAAATATGACTCATTAGGTCTCTCTGGAGTAGAAAGAAAATCTCACAATCTCATTTTATTCAACTTAGGGATGTGTGTCAGATGCACAAATTGCAAACTGTAAGCTGCAAGTTCCATTTTTTTCACGGTAATAAAAGAAACATAAATAAGATACAAGATATTCTCTTATGCTCACATTCATTTCATTAAATTGTTTTATTTTCTTCACTGCAGACAGTCTGACGCCGTCATAACACACCTTTAAAGATCCTGGTCCACCACATAAGGTAGCAGCTTGTTGAGTAAATTTCACTAGTTTCACCTGGTGCACTTCTTTCCCCCCAGGAGAAACGTGGCACTCTGCGCACACTGCTACCTCTTGTGTTCAGACGGACCGAGACGTCAGAGGTTGTTAGAAACACATAATGAAGCGTAGTGTACGGCGGCGGAGTCACTGTGAGTGTGTTTAGAGCCTCGATTCTTAATCTGGGCTACTTAAGCTTTCCTATAAAATATCAATTTGGTGTCATTGCTATATTCTTGTTATCCGTAGATCCCACAAACACAACATAATTATTTTTATTTATTTATTTTTTTATTATTATTATGGGTTAAGGACATAACTTTTGCTGCTTGTGCACAATTATCATCTCGATTTTAAACTGTAAAACTCTTGGTCTTGCCAAACAAGGAATGGATTATTCCAATCTAAATGCTGAGACAGTTTTGACCTTTGGTATCTGTATTGGTTTTTTTGTCAATATTGCAAAAAAAAAAGTTGTTTTAGAGGTTCAGCATTTTAACTAGGGATGTACCGATATGAACTTTTTGCTGACCCTTTCAACAATATCACAAAATGTCCACATTGCTGACTTTTCAATTCAAACTCTTCACAATCCTGCGCTTCATCACAAATGACCATCCCCCTCCCGAAACACAAAGCAACAATATGGAAATAAACACTGGTTAATATTAAGTTTTACTTATCAGATATCGATACGCAAAAAAAAAAAAAAAAGACTAACATCAGCTGACACCAATGTTTATGCCGATAAGCACAGTTGTGATATTTTAAAGAGCAAAGTCAAAATGCACTGATTAAGATGTACCCGGCCGTTTGGTTCAGACTTTCACAGATTCAAGAAAAAGTTTCAAAATATTGCAATGCAAAAAAGAATTTAAAAAATATGCTCATTCAGAAACGTACATTATGTTGGTCAATTGGTTTACAGAGCAAAAAGGTGGGGGATTAATAATAATAATAATAATAATAATAATAAACCTTTTAGAATTGGACCTGCTGATCACTGGTTAGAAATTATCAAGAGAAAACTGGAGGCTCACTGGTGCATCTTGACTTTTAACTCAGTTTGACATAGATTTACGGTAATTAATTACAAAACATTTGTTTCTCAGATTAGACAAATTTATGGACAACTTACTGTTTTAGCAAACTGAAGAAAAATAGAAGCATTATGATTAATAACTCCTTTTTTTTTACATCCATCATTGTCTCCTGTTGTGCTGATTGTTTTCCACTCGGTTCACACTCCATTATTCTCTCGAGTTTTAGTTAAATCAACACTGCATCACACAGGAGCAGAAAGTGCTGCTTCACTGATCCCAGTGTATGGATTGGGTGGACTTTGGGACGTGTTTTTTATTTTACAGTGATTCAGTGTGGATTTTCTTTTAATCACTCAGAGAGTTGAGTCTTACCCAGCTCTCCTTCATGTGTGGCTGAATTAACCCATTCCTCTCCAGGGCCCATGCTGGCCCAGTCCACCACTGCTTCACTCAGAACACTAGAGTACAACTCTGCAGCAGAGCAAGGCAGCAGATTGGATAAAAACAAGTTATTTATTCACACACAAACACGTAGTTATGGCGTTTCCTTCTTGCATCCATTCTTCACTCCAGGTTATCTGCATCTTGCGAGACGTTTCACTCTAAGTGACACAGATTGTCACTTCCTGAACATTTTTCAAACATTTTCAAATATGCCTGATTTCTAAAATTTTAACTTCCTGAAGTCAGGAAACAATGGTGGGCTATTGAATGGATGACCTCTAGTTATAGATAAAACCTCATTACAACACACTACAGGAGGAAATACGCCAGCAAAAAGCCAGTTTCACTCACAATCAGCTCCTTCTACTTCCACGTTTGACCAGCAGATGTGTAAAGTGATTTTTAGGGAAGTAAGTGGAGTCTGCAAATTGCACTAAAACCGAGGAAAAGGGCTGCCATTTCATTTTATATGCATTTTTGTAAACCAAAATGATAATTAATAAAATTTAAAATGGGAACATCAACTCAAAAGACTGATTGTTTCACCCTCAAAATCCAATCATTAATCGTGGAAGGATATTTACCTCCTTCTTGACTCTTCCTATTTCAAGTGTCTCTCCCTTTGCTTCGTGTTGGAATGAAATATCTTTGGTCACAAGACTCCCATTTGGCTTGATGGTCATGGGGCAACACTAAATCAGAGGCCGGGGGATGGTCATAAGGCCGAAGGAAAATCAATTAAAGCTAAACGGAGGTCAGGTAACACTGGAAGAGCTGTACACAGCATCTCAGGCTCCTAAAACTAACAAGGGCTCAATCCCCAACTTTAATCAACAGCAGATGAATAGACAACTTTTGAAAAAAGTTGGGAAATGTTCATATTTCAACTATACAACACAAGTCATCCTTAACAAATTAAAGTCTTTTTTTTTCCATCAGGCTCAAACTTTAGGGCCTTCTTTGGTTTTTTGCTAGCAGAAACAGCCACTCATTTCGTCTCGGAATGCAAAGGAATGCAATTACCTACCCGAATAAAAGCACCTTTATCCTGATTTATCAGTTAAGACGACTTCTGTCCACTGCAGCCATTTTTACACAATTCACAAAACGGTAATACAGAATCTTTTTTTCTTTTTTTTTGCAGTGGAAGTTCAGAGGAAGTGGACTTCCAGGAAAGCAACTAGTGATAAAAAAAAAATGCAAAAACAGATGGAAACACAGAAACACCAGAGATCTCCCTCAGCCAGGAAATAAAATCCACTATAAGCCTGGCGGAGCTAACACAAAGTCCAACTTTGTTCTTGTGGACCTCTAAAGCTGTCCACGCTTCTTAATCCAGTCAAACACCAACAGAAATAACACACCCACAACATATTAAATTAGCACTTAAAGAGCTGTAAGGTAAGAAATAAATGTTCCTTATTTCATTTGCATTTAACCACGTGTGGCATTAATGCCTTGCTCTTTTTCAAAGCATTTTGTTTACTGTATTCTTTCAGG